GCCCAGGAGTTTACAACATAAGAAGACTTCAGTTTCAGTTTGCTGTGCACATGTGTTTCTCAGAGACTCAGTAGCATGCAGGAGTTTTAACTCTGAGATGGATGAGAGTAGTTATGTTATGAAGATAAGGTCTAATTCTCATTCGTCCATGTGTTCATTCAAGAAAGAAACAAAAAAAACCTGACCGATCTTTTCTTGATTAAGCAGGAGAATACCGTATTTACCCTTTATTGTTGGTATAAACCATTATTTTAGTGAGAACCATTAGCTATTTAAAACTTGGTACATAAATTAAAGAGGAGCTAAATGGATTTGTGATCGTTGCCATTAGTAGCATTTTAGATTATACAGGCAATTATTGTGTTCATTATCCTAGAACAGCCCCTTTGCAGAGCCATTGTGGTTGTCTTAGACATTATGCACAAATTTTCCCTTGGAGATTAAAATTTCCAGTAGCGTATTTAATTTTGTTATCACAGTTGCTTCAAATGAAACAAATATTATGACAAGTAGAAGGAAATCTGCTTTACTAATATAGAAAATTACAACAAATGTTAGAAATGACTTTCTCATGTATTAATTTACCTTTTCTTATATACTCATAATTACTTTAAGAGATTAATCGTGTATTTTTTGGGTGAAAATCATAGCAAAAGCTATATGGTCTGTGGAGGTGTTAATGAAATTCTTTAAAGAATGCAGGTTCATATCAAAACTTCAGTGACCACTGTCTTTACAAAATCTGTAACTTTGTAAGTTAACTGGTTTTTGTTTTAAATAGTTTTTTTTTTTTTTTTTTTAAGAGTCCATATTGTCTTTTAGATGAATCAAAGAAACTTTTAAGGGTGTTTTAGAGATATTCAGTGTAAAAAGATCAACCGCTAATTGGAAGTGGTTTTAAATAAGTGTCAAAATACATCTTTTCTCCCATTCCGTTGGAACTGACCACAGAGTTGAGAGTGCGAGGTGCCCTTGGCCCAGGTGTACTTCCCATCCTGGAGAGCAGTCCGGATTCAGGAGGAGCTGCCTTGGGAGGACAGGAGGCAGAGCTCCTTGTCCAGAAGTTGCCTTTGACTCTGGTTCACTTGCCCTTTCTTCCCACCTTCCAGTGAGGAGGAGTGGGAAGGCAGCATTTAGTTGTCTTCAGAACTGTGATATTCACTAGTCGGGCAGTCCACCACATCTGTCTTGGTCAATTAGAAAGGTATTAATGCCTTGAATTATCTGCATATCCGTGTGCAGTGGGCTGCTTTTAATGTTTCCATCCTCTGTGGCATTTTTCAAAGGAAACTTTGTATTCATTTCTGAGTGGTTTTGTCCCAGCTTTTAGCCTTTCACTGCTATGATGCAGGGAAAGTGTGAGGTAGTAGTTATACGTTTTGCAGGACAGTGATTCTTTATTTTATTACAAAAAAAGACCAACTCTGGAAGGCCAGATTAAATCATTCCTTTCACTTTTTAATGGGATTTGGATGAATAGAGTAAAATATGCACTTTGCATTCATTGATAGCATCTTTAGGTTGAGGTAATTGAGTCTTTTTTCCCTGACTGAATGAATAATGACTTCATCTGATCCTAGTGAGGCCTGAAACTTAGGCTGCCTTTGTCACAGCAGAAAGATCTGGGCTTCGAAACATGCTCTACTTCCCTGGCTTAATTTTTCTTCATTTTAATCCCCAAACCTATTTTTCTCAATAATTCAAGCATAAACTGTATAGTAGTGAAGTAGCGGAAATTGCACGATATTTGTCCTCCTTGTGCTGCTTTTTAAATGGAGCTGATAAATCAGATGCTGTGCTCTTGAGCAGCCTTGTTCTCAAGGGAAGGCCCTGCCCCTGCACAGGGAGCAACATGAGGTGGAACTTGGTAAATGCAGTGATTTCAGGCTGTTCACCGTCTAGGGAGGTGGTGGGTGTCACTGTCCTGGTGCAAGACCTGGCTACAGGCAAGAGAGCACCTGTGCTGGAGTTCGAAGGCGCTTTAGCTGCCGCTGAGAGTTGGCACACACAGTATGCTTTGGGAATCTGCAGTCTCTGTGGCCCATTGCATATCGCTGACAGGTCAGAAGTGAGAGATTCCTGTAACATGACACTTAGTTTCTGTTTGAAGTTTTCTTAGTTAGGAATTTTGCATATTAGTGACAAAGCATGCAATGGCCAGATGAGACTGTCAACAAGGGAAGCCGGCCAGGCTGCTTATCCCAAGCCAATGACCCTGCTTCTTCCCTATCCGAGGCCCTCTGCAATTGGAATTGCTTGTCTGCCCTTTCCTGTGGGTAGATCACACAACAGGCGCACCCTGCTGTCCATGGCCTAGAAGTAGAGAAGCTGGCCTCCTGGCTATTCAACCTCAGATAAAGCTATACCAGGCCATCTTGAGCAGCCACGTGAGCTGCTGCCAGTACTCACCTTTAGGTTCATACTATGTCACTGTACTGCGGTTCCCTGGTGAGGACTCCCTCTCTCATACCAGAACAGCTGACCATCCAGTGACAAGGTCCCACAAGACCATAAAGGAGCAGAAAGAGGTGGCAACCTCGGGCTTGGAATGTCTGCACCCCCTCCTCCCATGGACACTCCTCCCCTCCGTCAGCCTGTCCCTCCTCTTCGCCTTGCTCAACTGTGCCTACTTCATTCTGCATCTCCACAGGCCCAGAAGCTTATTTATGAGCTGAGTCTCCTGTTTCCTATTCTTTGGCCAAGAAGAAACTTCCTGCACTGCTTGACCAGGGTTTGGTTTCCATTATTGGCCCTAGGATTCCGAGAGGACCTGGTGCGGGTGAAAGTAGTGACAAAACTATAGTGCAGATGAGCTGGCCTGTTCCATGCTGGGTTTGCACCACGAGGACAGGCAGACACCTGGGAAGGGGTGCCTGTTGAGTCCCAGCCCACGCTGTAGACCCTACCGTCTTCTTTTCAGTGTAGGCTCAGGATCTGCACTCTAAACAGGTGTCAGTCATACTGCTCCTGGGTCCCTGTGGACTTCCCATTGTGTCTGCTGTATTTCAGAAGGCCATGCCTTTAAAAAAAAAAAAAATTCCATCATTAACTCTTCCTAACCTTAGAGTTTAGCACAAAATGTAGTAGGCATGTAATTGTTAAATTAGTTTTCTCCAGAGCTGTATTAAATGGGCTTTTTGACTAAGTATTCTTTTCTAACTACAGTTTCTCATGATCTCATGAGGATTTATGGCAAATATTAAGCAAAACCAGATATAAACTTGAATTAGGAGTCGTAGAAAGACCAAACTCATATTTCTGGCCAAAGTTATGGATTTTCAAAAAGCATTAGAATAAACCAGGTTATTAGCTTAGCGACCCTCAGATTCTTACATTAAAAAATCACAGCACTTCAGTTGTTGCTGCCAAGGTTTTGGCAACCATGGAGTTGCTGCTGTTGGCCTCTTTTAGTTACTTTTTTTTTCAGAAGTTGTACCAGATTGAGGAGAAATTCTGATGATTGAGATGCCTAGCCCATAGGACTCAGCTAACTATCCTCATCACCATAAGCCAGAGTGGCCGATTATGTTACTTACACGCTGTTCCTGGGTCTCCTCTTGCTGAGGCTGTGGCCTCACGGCTTAGAGCCATGTACCTAGGGTGTCTGTGCTCCTCCAGCTACCTTCGCTTGGTTTTGCACATCTGGACAGAGAGACTTGAGAGTTTTAAGGGAAGTCCCCAAAGTCACACAGTCCTCCACAAAACTTGATGAAATGCAAATGCATACAGTGACAACAGCATGTGTGCTTGGCTTCCTGGTCACAGGAGCTACATGTGTTGTGTGCATGATGTCTCTTCATACCAGAGTCCTGTTAGGAGGGTGCCACCATGATCCCTGTTCCACAGGTAAGCATGCTGAAGCTCTTATGACCCAGAGCTGTCCAGAAGGCAGAGTCAGCCTTTGGATTCACTCCCTCCACAGTCCCAGGAGTCTCAGTTGCTACACTGCTTCTTTTCCCCCTCTCTCTGCTTCTGCTGCCTTCCTGAAGCCAGCAGCGCCCCCTTGTGTTCTCCTGCCCCCTCACACTGTACTGCACTATAGTCTTTCAGGGGTGAAACTAAAGAGAAGCAGTTTGCAGAGATTGCTAGAGCTCGAAATTGAAGTTACATGCTTCACAGAGCCATATTCTCTTGTAGAACGAGAGCAATTTGGGTGGCTAGTTCTCACTATTTCCAAGAGCAACAAAAAATGAACTTCTCCTTATTGACATGATTTTCTGTACATTTTTTTCAGCTAACGAGTGATCTAAAGGATGAATTTGAGTGTAGGGTATCATACAGGGAGATCCTGAAGTATGGAAATGGTGCAAATCAGAATGTTTTCATCACAAACTAATTATCTCTGTTGCCTCTTTCTGTATCAGAAGGAGTCCTGAGGCCTTTGCAGACAGACAGGCTCTTTTATGACATGGAATGGATGCAACCAGGGCAGGCTACATGCGTGCGCGCGCACACACACACACACACACACACACACACACTCACACACTCTCACACTGTTCTGTTCTTAGGGTCACTCAGTCTGAATGAAATCCCTAAATGAGTGTGTGCAGGGATATTTGAGAATGACAGCGGGCACATTGGTCTGATGTGGCACTTGCCAAGGGAGATAGGTCTTGGCTCTTGGAGGGCTATTGTGGGGCTGTTCACCGAGCAAGCCTTCTGTGCCCTCCTTTGGGCCCGCCATTCTTTGTGTCCTGATTGTAGTCAGAGTGTCACCTGCCAGGAGGACCTGGCTCAGGGCTGGCCTCATGCTTCTTGGCAGGCCCTTCTTGAGAACACTGTGGGGATCAAGACCTGCTGGCAGGCATTCTGCCTGAATCTATAAGAGGCTTTCAGGAGGAAAGTGATGTCAGTATGCTTTTGTACTCCGTTATTGTAAAGACGATAAAAAATCCTGAAGTCTTCTTAGATCATCATGATCATGGCTTCTGATTTATGGTGTTAAGACATATAAAGCTGGCTTGGTCGTGTACTAATGTTACACTGTTTTCTTTCAGATTGGTTTGCTGGACCTCGAGCTCAATCAGCTGACGAAGGCGCTATTTCTGGCTTTGGTTGTTCTTTCTGTTGTTATGGTAACCTTACAGGGATTTGCAGGCCCTTGGTACCGTAATCTTTTCCGGTTTCTTCTTCTTTTTTCCTACATCATTCCCATCAGGTAGGTTTAAGAGTTTATAAATAAAAACAAGTGTCTGGTTTCACACCATAATTCTTTTGAAAATTTTCTTTCTCAGTGTGTAAGAAATCACTCAAACACAGCTAAAGAGCAAGGGAATAGGAACCCTAATGAATCGGAGGAGTCCTGTAGAAATGGTGTCCAGGAGCACAAGTCAGTTTTGTTGGAATAACCTAGAGACTGACAGTTTTCCTGATGCAGATGTATTGATAATGTACTCTTCAATAACTGGGAGACGTTTTGATAAAACATAGGACTGAGGGCTGGGATTGTGGCTCAGCAGTATGTGTGAAGCCCTGGGTTCGATCCTCCGAACCACATAAAAATAAATAAATAAATAAAATATTTTTGTTCAACTACAACTAAAAAATAAATTTAAAAAAAATAGGACTGAGTCTGAGAAAATAATTTCCATTGATTGCCAATAGATTCCCACCCCCCACCCCCTGTCTGTGACCTTGGATCTAATTAAGTCATGGACATTTTAAAGTCACCTATCTTTGAAAGAGGATCTGATATGTCCTTCAAGTTAGATGAGTGTTGAGGAAGCTAGTGTTTACATATGAACCATCTTCAAAATGATAACCCATGTAACTAGAGACTGTATGTAAACAGTTAATATCAGATATCTATTTAAAGAGTAACCCTTACAGACATTCACAAATCCATTTTACATATTTGCAAAAATGATATCATTAAAAAGATATCCTTGATATATATAATCTAAATCATTCATATGAATAATTGAAACCCAGTGAATCCTGGATGAGAGTCTGGGATAGTCATCTTTTATGGCATGGAATGGAAGAAAACAGGACAAACTCCATGTGGTCAAGGGCAAGACACTTGGAAGAGAAAGACGTCTGTGACCAGGTTCCTCTGAACGTCTCATGTCATGCACTGGGGCTTTAGTCCCTTCATGCAATCTGTGTGCACCATGACCTAGTGGTGTGTGGCTGCCTGGAGGCTGTCCAGCTACTCTTGTTCCTCTCCTTCTCCCGTAGCACTGGCTCCATGGAAGCTCCCATCTGCATGCTGCCACTCCCAGGGGCATCCACTCATCCTGCAGTTAGGTGGTTCTTACCACTTCGAGTTCACCTGAAGACCCTCTTTGGACAGGCCTTCGGTCCTGACCAGGAAGCACCAGCACTGTCTGCCGTGCTGGCCGCTGCAGTCCTGCATGGTTCATGCATCTCCCCAAACTCCCTGAGGGCAGAGGCCAGGCCTGGCACTTTGGCTGTATGTGGGAGCGAGCTGTGCAGTTCCCAGGATGGGCTTCTGAGGTACTTGTGAATGGACCTTCACTGCTTTGGGAAACCAAGCATGTTTAGCTTGTCAGAGTTGTCACAAACACATGTTTCATGCCATAAGTGGATCCAGGAAACCTAATCTTTGTCCCCAGAGACCCACCGAGTCAGTGGCCACATAAAAAGTATCCTAGAGAATCACATATTTGCTTAATTCAACTCTCATGCCAGAGGGTGCATACTTAGGTACCAGTGATCCTTGAGGTAGTTCCCAACTTTAATGCATTTGACTTAAGTATGCATGGCTAGCCTCAGTCCCATAAACTGCAATATCTCGTCACCCTCCACCAACTTCCTCCATCAATGTCCCTCTCCACAAATACCTCCTTTCCCTCTATTCCCACTCTTGCACTGCCTTTTCTTATGGGAGAATGTGGGCCAGACATCAGGTGAAGGAGGAATTGAAAAGGAAGACGTGTCCCCTGCTTTTCTGTTTCTGCCTACAGAAATACCTGGCTCTGAGAGGCAAAGCTGCTGTCGCCCCAGGTGGGTCTGTACCTGTAGCTTGCAGAAGCACCTCAATTCCTGGGAATGGATGTGCAGCCTGAAAACTTCTGTCAAGAGTTTTTTTTTTTTCTCTCAATGAAAAAAATGTATTCCAACTTCTAAAGTATGTTAGGGGACATTGAATACAGGCTTTAAGGCTATGTTAGCCCAGGCACTCTTTTTTTTTTTAATTTTTTAAAGATTTTTTTTAATTGTACATGAATACAATACTTTTATTTTTATATGGTGCTGAGGATCAAACCTGCTGGGCAGGTGCTCTGCCACTGACCCACAACTCCAGCTTCCATACTATGATTTTTTTTTTTGACAATTATTTTGATTATTTATTTGCATTTAGTATTATCTTATTTTTTAATTTCTAATTGTCCAGCTTCTATATTTATTTTTCTTTTCTTTCTTATACCCCTTTGAGGGTTTCTTTCTTTTTTTTTTAATTCCAGTTTTTTCTTTTTATTAACTTGGAAGTAAAGCCCCATATTTCTGTTCTTGTGTTTCCCTAGACATTTTACCCTGCATGTGTAGTGAAGTTTAAGGCTGCCTTCATTTTTACTTTGCTCTCACACAGTGCAAGGCCGTAGCGTGGTGTATTAGCTTTGCTACCTCCTCCTTCTCGTTTTGTTAGCATACTTTTCCTGGGCAGCCTTTTACTTTGATTTTTGGCCTCTGTTCTCCTGGTACTCAAGGCTCGCAGCAGACTTCTGGGCGCCTGGCTTCTCAACATTAGTTCAGCAGTGAGGCTGCTTACAGTGAGTTTGCCCTGCACATCTGCAGTAGTCTTCTTCCAGAGATGGGAGGGAGGTCTTTAAGCAGTGCAGATTTCACTTACAGAAGAGCATCAGTGGTGATTATGTTTGAAATAAGACTTGGGAAATACAGTTCTTATCACTCTTATCCAGTATTACTGCATTGCTTACACAGGAGATAGCAGGAAGCAATGCAGGGCCTCATGTGATGAGAGGTGTTGTCAATACACAGTCAGCATTGGTGTGAACACAGGGTGAGGGCACAGACAGGTCCAGTGCCCTCTCCTGTCTTCCAGCAGAGGTGCTGGCCATAAACACGGAAGCAGCTCAAGTGCTCCTATGGTGGTAGATGCTGTTTCAAGTTAGAACAGCAGAGGGCAGCTCCTGTGGCTCTGGTAATCACCAAGCACTGAGCTGCAGCCTGCATGCTGACAGACACCTCTAAAGACATGGGGAAAGTGTCCAGGCCAGCGGGAACCAGAGCTCCACCTCTGCTCAGCCGTGCCTGGCTCTGCACTAGCTCCCTGCTCTCTGCTCCTCCAGCTGCTGTGCAAGGTGTCTGCTCCCGTCTTTGTCCAGAGAGCGTCCTCTCTCCCATCTGTTCTTTTAGAATTCCCAAACTTTTCTTGTTTCTTTCATAAATAGTTTTTCTTCATTTAAGCTGGTGCTTTCATTTCTGGAATATTCTGTGGCATTAGGGTTCTGTTTCACAGTGCAAGGGGTTTGGGGTGCATTTCCCCCTCTTACCTCTGGGCTCTTTTTATTATAGATTTTTAAGGAAATATTTTATTTCTGTATGCTATCTCAACTTCTATTTTAAGTAAAATAACAATATTAAAAGGATTTGAATTATTGCCCCTTTATCCAAAACAGGTGAAGTTGATTATAGTTATGCAAATTAGTATGTTTTATATGCATTTTTAAAACTTAAACTGATTTCTGTTATTTCATATTTGAATCATCACATACATTTCTAGTAAAAAATAGAAAATATTGAGAAGAAAATAAATATTATCTATGATCTTACTATCTAGATAAATTATGTGAAACCTTTTAGATCTTACAGACTTAAAATTTTTAAACCCACCCGTTTTTTTTTTTAATCTGTGGAATCTTTTTTTTTTTTTTTAAATATTTTTAGCTGTAGATGAACACAATATCTTTATTTTTTTATTTGGTGCTGAGAATGAACCCAGTCACACATGCTAAGCAAGCCCTCTACCACTGATCCACAACCCCCCAGCCCCTGGAATCATTTTTAATATTTGCTAAAACAAGGAAGGTACCAGACTTTCTGCAACTCTGTCTTGGGTAGTTTTTCAGTGAATAATTTTCCATTAAGCACATTGAGTAAGTAGAGAGTGAGGAGATAGGAGGAAGAGTCCTCGTGTCTCCTCTGTGCAACTCCAGCATGCCCACACCCACTTCAGCGTGGCTCCTCCCCAGTTTCCACAGCCCTAGAGCACAGTGATGCAGACGAAGCACACAAGTTGGAAATGTCCGATGTCGGAAGAATGGGATACTAGTTTAGAGAATTACGGTTTACATTTGATTAAAGCAAAGTTTTTCTTTATGCAGGGGAGGGGCTAGTCTCCATAAAACGTGTATAACAATACATTTTAGTGTTTGTTAATGTGTTTTGGGATTTAATAAATGGTATGATTTTAATGTATATATTCTTTCATTTTGCAAAGAACAAAAACTTGGAAAGTAAAGTGCTGTTTTTTCTATTGTTTCATCACTCTTAAATGGCTTTTAAATTTCAAAAGCTGAGCTATTTTATAAAAATCTCTCTGTGTATGCCAGGTAGAGTGGTGCACACCTGTAATCTCAGCGGCTTGGGAGGCTGAGGCAGGAGGATTTCGAGTTCAATGCCAGCTTCAGCAGTGGCAAGGCACTAAGCAACTCAATGAGACCCTGTCGCTATACAAAATAGGGCTGGGGATGTGGCTCACTGGCTGAGTGCCCCTAGTTCAATCCCCAGTACCAAAAAAATAAAAATAAAAAAAAAATCCCTCTGTGTAGCATATAATAATTATGAGTTACTTAAGATAGTATACATCATCTTCCAAAGGAAAAAAAAGAAAAAAAGATAATGTGTGTTCCCTAGTCCTGCACATCTCTTGTAGCCAAGTGAACTGTCAGAACTTCCCCACAGGGCTGGACTTGCGTTTACTTCTCCCTGTGCTTGGAGGTGCTGTGTAACGTTTTAGCCATTTTACCAGCAGTGGGCCCAAGAGATTCCTACTCCCATATGAGACCTCTGGGGGCAAAATAGAGGAATGAATGAATTAATAAATAATAAATAATAAATCAATAGCTTGACAAAGTGAATTCATGTCCCTCCTGAGAAACACCTAAGACCCTCTTGTAGAGGCAGTGACTATGCTTCAGGTACCGGAGTGCATCCTTCGGAAACAGGTTT